TTTCAAAACAGTGCAAACCAAATACCACAATATATTTTTGCCATGATGTTCTCATAGTTCAATCATATTTTAACCAGCAATATATCTGAATAAATTATTACTATTATTTTTTTTTATTGTATCAGATAAAAATGGTTTCGGTCAACTTTTCTTGCCCTCAAAATCATAATATTTACATATATAGTCTTTCTAATGATAATGAAATGATTTGAGGAATTTATCACAATGTAAAATTGTGACATGAAGAAGAATGCTTCCTGTTAATGAACAACACACCTTTTCCACAATAATCCCAGAGACATGACATTCTCTGTCAAAAAAAAAAAAAGATGGAATTAAATTAACACGCCTGTCTGCTAGTTTCTGTCTTCCATAATCCTTGTGCAAAGCAAAAGAACATGTGATTTATTTCTGGAGCTTTCTCTGCTTGCTTACTGCTTAAGCTTTTCAAATTAACTAAACGTGCTTTGCTGTATCCACTGCTTGCTTTGATTTGCCACAGGTTTCTTCGCCTTTGAGGTTGTTCACCCATCTTTAAAATTCAGAATGACACTGAGCCTGACCAGTACTGGAGAAGCTGTTTCATTTTACTGTAAGTCCATTTCCGAGCACAAATTGAAAAACCCAATGTCCATTTCTGTCAGACTGAAGATTAACTAGTTGTGAATTTTATTTTATTTGTATTTTTTACAACTAAATTAAAAGTAAATTATATTTATTTATAAATAAAAGTCTTTGGCAGACAAGAGCCCAAGAGCTTTAAGTGTAAGGAGGTAGAAATGCACACAAACTTAAGGGTTATTAAAATGATTTTGATGGATTTTTAATCATCTGTTGTTTGCTCTTAAATTGTTTTCTTGGGTTTTTCCCTCCACTGACTTGGTGGTGTTTCGTTGACCAGTTCCGATCAATAGACGGGTTCAGAGAACAACCTGAGAAGAGAATCAAGGCTCCTCCAGCTTGTTTCAAAATGTCCTGTGAGATTTGGAAACCTGGCAGTGAGGCATCCGTCTCTGTCCTCCTTTAAACGCCATTCTGCCTTAACTGTCGGTGTCCTCTGCATAAATCTGGACAAAATGCAACACTCCATCTTTACTGAAATAAACATTTTTTTAATGTTGATATTGCTAGACATAAATATGTATTTGTGCATGAAATGGTTATTTTTCTATCCTCTGTTGCTCAGATATGAAAGCAAAAAAAAAAAAGGTGCATGCCTAAAATCCTCACTGTATAACCAAGGGTGAAAGCTGTTTTGTCCGTTTCGAAGGGATTCATTTCCACATGAAAAGAGAAGTTCTGTCCAATCCCTTTATACACGTCCGTTTAGTTTGCTGAGCACAATACCCAACTAACAAAAGGCAATAGCCTTTACGGTGCAAATATAATGCACTGCACACATACAGAGCGCACATCTATTGTTGCTTTTGCTTTTTAACAGACATTGGACAAGACGAGGCACAGCTCTGAACACATCAGGCTCGCTGTCTGACCCCTGGGGGACAAAATTCCTGCATACACAGAGTGAGTAACAGAGTGGATGCATAATTTGTCAATGCTGCTTTTTTTGTAATGTCCACAGGTCTCTCTGTCCCCATGGTGTGGCCCATCTGTTTTCTCTGCTGATGCCGTACATATGTAAAACACACAGAGCCGTAGAAAGGTGCAGAGTTTTACTCTTTAATGTATGCGATGCTCTTGGGCTTCAGTGGTGAAGTTTCTGGTTCATGTTTTGTGCATTCAGCCACGCACCCCAAGAGCCAAAAGCAACCTGGGAAGCAAATGCGGCAAATAACCGGGTCCTACGTTCTCAAAATGTTCTGACATTTAATTTTAGAGGCTAGGCCTGACTTTAATCTATAAGTCTACCAGAGGCACTGGACTGCAGGACGCATTAATCGAGCACTGTGTGTTCATACTGATAAAACAGCATCCTGTTAGGAAGTAATCAATCTTTAACATGTTTGGGGGTTATTTGTTTGGTGTAAAGCATTTCTGGTATTGAATCGTTCCTGCTCTGTCTCACTCACTTTATAGGTATAAATTCTTGAAACACTCCTTTCATCAAGTCTTTGAATTCAAGTGCTGGAAGTGACTGGCCTCCAATAGAGGGCACAGTTGACTGCATCAACATGGAGTGTGTGTGCCTTGCTGAAAGTCTTAAGGAGAGAAGGAAGTAATGCTGCACTGAGGATGGAAACTAAATGGACGTAAAATAACATCTGCATGAACAACGCATGTGAATATGTTGCTTAGTAACTAACTTACAGCCTCTTTGGATAGATATGAGCAGAGACATATTTTGTCTGCTAGTAAAAGAAAAATAGAAGACTATTGGCTGCAGAAGAATTCAGGTCCTTTTCATGTTGCATGCCCTTGACTGAAGACTGAATGGCAGTGTTGGAGATAGATTGTTGGGCAGTTGGCTTTTATGCAGATAATGCCATTTGATGGAGGCGAGTGTTTGATGTGCTGCGGGTGTAACAGAGGAATCAAGCGTCGGAGGGTAGGGCTGATTTTGCTTGGAGAAAAGCTGTCCTCAGTGATAACTTCATCTCTGCATGTGGCCAGACGTGGGGTAAATTCAGGAAGGGGATTTAAAGGAAAAATGCCCCGTCAGAGCTGCAGTAGTTGGCCCCCTATTGAGCTGCAGAGCCTGCAGACCATAGTTTGAAGGTCTGTGATCTGCCATTGGTATTGTTAGTCTTTCTCTCTTCTCTCTCCCTCAGAACCAAAACGACTCGGCCTCAAAATGCCTTTCTAGTGGGATTAGCGGACTGTTGCTTTTGTAATTAATGAAACTCTGCTTTCTGTGCAGTATCCTCTAAATGCTATCATTTGAAGCCCATCAGATAGAGTCCCGTATGTTTTCGTCTGAGCCGTCTTGGTGTTAGGCCAGGGCAGAGAATGGCTGGGAGGCGTCTGGACTTATCTCTGCAGCTGAAGCTCATCAAGATGAAATTTTCACACTTTACAAAGTGCAGGAGAACTTCAAGTCTGTCTGCATTATCATCAACCGAGGCCCATTAGGGCAACGGAGGGGCCTCCTCTCATGCTATTAAATGCTCCTGTGAGAAACAAGGAGGGAAAATCTAGACATGAAGAAGCATCTGAATTCAGCTCAGTTTATTTGTATGTTAGTAATTACGTACTTTTATTTATATAATACATTCAAATACTGAACAACGGCTTTTATATAGTTTTTAGAAAAACTAGCAATAAATAAAAAGGCAACAAAAATAATAATAATACAAAATGGCAAATTAACCCTTTGATTCCAGATGTATTGTTTTTGACACAATATACTTTATCAAACTGTATTCCTTCCTCAGAAACCTGCTGTATTGAGTAACATGTTACTGAATATGTTTATTTTATCTCTAAAAATGTAGCAAAAAAATATTTTTTTGGAATGGTGAAAGTGATAAATGCTGCTTTAGCCATGTGCTTTATAATGCATATAAATGTTTTATTATAAAAAGTGAATTGGTTATGATTATTACAAAAGTAACTTCCTTGAATATGATACTAATTATGGTTCAAAAAAGGAGAAACCTAAGTAATTGCTTTTTTGCTTTCTTTCATTAGAAGCAAGCAGATGATTATTATAAACAGTTACATTTTTATTAATTCAAAATGTTCTTAAAAGCATTTCATGTCTGATCCTTTCTAAGGTTTGGAATGTCAGATTTCAGCCCAGAACTAAAGGTAGGGATGGAGAGAGCCCGTTTAACATCAAGGAGTGTGTTTCCTCAGAAGTGGACCAGCAACTGAAAAGATTCTGTCTTCTTTGAGTTGAAACATCGTCTACAGGGAGGTAGAAGTTTATCCGTTGATCTGGGAGCTCTTGAAGGTGGAAGGAAATTACTGGAATCAGCTGTACGAAGGGACTTACCCATGATCAACAGAACCTTAAAATGAACTGAGAAATAACTGGGGAGTCGAAGCAAAGCAGCTCCGGCTGGAGGGATGAGCTTAGGACACAGCAGGATTTTGGACAAGCTGCAGACATGATAATTAAGACTGTGGCAGAATTATTTATAATAAGGACGTCTTCAGTTTAAAGTAATAAAAGCATAGATGAATATGTCTAAATTATGTTAAAAATTTGAAAGTTTTGCAATAGTTCCTAATTTTTGGTAGATATTTTACTTTTAAATCTGTGGAATGCATCTGAATGTTGAGCAACAAGGCAATTCAAAGTTCGTCACAGGATTTTTTTTTGTTTGTTTGTTTTAATCGGTCTGTGTGTAATTTGAAATAAATGAATCTTTCAAAACTGTTCCAATTTATTAAATATTAGTTTATTTTATTTTCATTTTGTTGTTTTTTCACCTTTATTTTATTTCTACTTTAATTAATTTCACTTGTTTTAAATTCAAATATTTTGTTCATTTGTTATAATCATTCTTTTTGTTCAGTGACTGCTGTTTTTAAAATACTTTTTAAAATAATATTCGTTTGATTGTAGCAAGCATATGGCGACAGTGAAACTAAAGATTTCAACGGAGCACAGAAGAAAACAAGGTGCTGGACCAGGACTCCTTTCTATGTTAAAAATTTGAAAGCACACAGAGTCCAGGACAGCCGTGGCTTCAGTGACTGTGGTTGTTGGAGTTAAACTGCATATTTTGTGCTGTATCCATTCTACAGCTGACCGATGCGCTACAGATGGTGGATGGACTGAAACAATATGAATCGAGCTTTACCCAGAAGCGACATTTCAATTTGAACAGTGAGGCTCAGGCTTCCTTGTTTATCTAACAGTTTAATTAACAGCTTGGGTAACCTTTAGCTGCTCGTGTTTGCTGCTAAGAAATAACATTTATTTACATCAGTCTGGCTTTCCCCTTGTTTGACTGAAGGTAAGAAACTGCAGGTTTGAGATTTGTCCAATTAAAAGACTGGCAGTCCTTACAGGTATACTGTAAGCTTAATGAACAGCTTCTCTAAACAAAAGGAGGAGAGGATGCTGAGGGAGAGCAGCCAGGTGGCCTGATCACAGTTAATCCACATCTGCTGTTTGATTTTGATGTTTTTTCCATTTAAGTAAATTTGGATGTAATTGCATCAAATGGATTTTTCGGGTTGAGACGTCCTGTTAGTTTTCTCTTAATGAAGCTCCTCCTGTTGTTTACAGGTGCCACCGTTTGCTTGGTGCTCACAGGCTGGAGGTCAGAGTTGACCCTCCTCTGTATTTACGGCCTGTACCGGTGCTGATGGGCAGAGAACAGGTTGAGGCTGAGGACGGGATGAGCAGCTTCCCAGCTGACAAGTGCATATCGGACAAAAGCGCAGCGGAGCGGGTGGCGAGCATCCGCATCCTCATCCTTACCGAGTGAGGAAAGAATTTTTTTTTCTATCCTTTTTTCTCCCCTCTAAATTTCCTGCACAGCTGCTTGGCGACAGGAAATGTATATCCGTGTTATCTCCTGAGGGGGGGAGGACAGAAGCATTGCTGGAACTACTGCCTGAGCTGATTCGCCGGGAGGACTGGGAAGATTTCGGAGCAGAAACACGTTTCTGTCGGAGCTGGCAGCTCAAGCTCTCCGCTCCGTCGCCACAACGTCCACAGCGCTGGACACAAGTCTGTTGCTCCGAGACGTGCGCATCGGTTTCCGCGTCTGGAACCTGACTGAGAGGTGCTTTTTTTGTGCAGAAGAGAGAAGAATAAACTCGTTGCCAAATTGCACACGCGGTTTATTGTGCGCGCTGCTGCCTGCAAGTTGGGAGCGAAGCGCACCGCTGGAAGTTTATGCGCCTCGGACAGACCCGCAGCAGCTCCTTACAGGTCAGTACTCTCTTATTATTCTATATTAACATCATTCTACAAATACAAGAAACAATAACTAAAAAAATCATCATATATTTGTGCTGTAAACATGCCGGATTTGCTGTTCTGTAATATTCCATATCCTTTGACAAGAGGCAGAGCCGCAACCTGCTGGGATCCCTGTCCCATTTTCCATCTCCACGCTGATAAATATGAATTAGATTTATGTTCTTTGATTTTTATTTTTATTTTTTTTTAAGCTGCGGAAGTCATCCTGTTTTAATGAGAACAAGACATTTCCCGATCAGCTTCGGTTTGGGGTTTGCTTTGCGACATGAAGTTTAATAATGAAACGCAGAGTTTGTAAGGGTCAGCCTCTTTGATTTAGAAGCGGTGTCAAATTTTCATATTTTAAAGATTGAGTGGGAATATTAAAAAAATGAAAACACATTACACATGGTCATTTGATGGTTTGTATCATAATTAAACCATCAATAATGATGAATGAGACCAACCTTCATCCTATTCTCTTACTTTTCAAACCTGGGCTGACCCATTAAAAAAAAGAAAAAAGGAAAAAAAAACTTATTGTGGTTAGAAAAATCAGTTAGTCTCATACGTGATTCAACTTAACTACTCAGTTCACTCTTAATTAAGAGGCATTTGACTTTTACATTCATCAGTCCATCGTTTGGACTTTCACCTTTAAGATCTGGTGAAAAATCCTAAAATGAGCCGTCTGTTGGTTCTGCAAGAAGTCTTGAGATCCAAAGCTGCTCAGGTCTGAGATGAGCCTAATCAGTGAGCCAAACTCGGCCACATCTCCCGTATAAGAAACAACTGTGATCTTTTCTCTCAACTTAAAGATTTTTATTGCAATTACACAAGATACTTAAGATTTCTGGTCACTCCCCCTTATCTTGTGATTTTAAACATTGAATGGTGCTCAGGCTGCCTACCATGGAGAGAAATGTTGATATGATTGAACTCTGACATGGATCAGGCTGAACACAATCTCCAAACACATGCATCTGAGTCCACATGATGGCCCAGGAGGACAAGTATATCTGTTCAGCTAAATTGATTTATGACTTTTGTTCCCAATGTGACTGAGGAACTACAGCAGTTGAGGCCACTTTGTGTTTTATGCTCCATGTCTGACAACGACTGGAATCATAAACTAATGCAGAGCTTCACTACTTGGGGCGTGTGTGGTGAATTATGCCTGCTGAAAGGTTTGTTGCTCCTCTGTTCTTGCCAACCTCCCTGCAAATCATGACATGTACTTCTCCGAGGATGAAAAAATAAGTTTAGGAAGATGTGGCAAGTGTTTTATGAGAACCAATAAACTCCCAGAGACAACAATCTGTCTCTTCTGGCACCCTGTAGGGGCACGACAGTCGCATCTCCTGTACGGAGGCACTGATCATAACTGGAACTGGCCTCCCTGTACAGCAACCAGGCTCCTATACGACTCTTTTCCTGCTGCCAGAGTGTACTGATAAATGACACACGTTGTGTTGACACATTCAGAAACACACCTGGATTCAGAAGGATGCCAGTTGCTCTCTGTCCTTCAACACATTTAGCACAGCTGTAGAGAAAACGTGCTGGAGTTCACTATTTATGGAGAGCGCCTTAGTCTGGCAGATGGCTGCGCATCGAGCACTGAGACATTTTCTGCTGTGACCTCTTATTGAGGCTTTAATCTAATTCCTCAGCTTTTAACGTCACTGCCTTTCAGTCAACTAATTGAAGCAAGTGACTTCATTTTTCTAGAAGAATTCCGGGAAGTTCTGTGGATGATTCTCTAATCCATGCTTTGAGTTTAAAATTGTTTACTTAATTCAGAAATAATAGAAGAACTGTGTTCGCAACATTGCTTATTTTTTTGATAATTTCCTTTTTCATTATTCCTGTGGAGAATGTAATATTCTGTCTGATGATGCCAAGTTGAATCCTGGCTTTACACAGTTTTTATTTTATTTTATAGAAAAGCAGTCAGGATGACTCGTCCTGCTAACACCTGAGTGATGTGGAAGAACTGTCCGTGCTCAGACCTGCACATACAGTATCTCACAATTTTTTTTTTTTTTTACTTGCGGGTGCTGAGAGTGGCACAGGATGACCTCTGGGATTAAAACATTTGATATGCCAAACATCGTCGCCGAGTCGCCTGTTTCAACACGTCGGAGCAAACATGTGAAGGTTAATGCAGTCTGACAAACTACCACCAGTTCCCCAGGCTCGACGGATCGCTTCCACGTCATATTTACTTTACATAATTGCTGCCCTCTAATCTGTTACTATTAACACAAATTCTGCTTTGCTATTGTCTGTTGTACTCTCTTTCACCTGCTTTTTCTGTCTCTTGATGCACTTTCCCTTCACTCCCACGAGAGCAGAGCGGCATCATGATGAATAGTAGAAAAGTGCATGTATAGCACGTCATAGTGCATTCTTTAGGTCGATTGGAGTTTAACATAACTGAGTTTAACATAACCGATGCAACCCCCATCAGCGATTAGACTGTCGTTTCCCGCTCAGAAGCCCTGCAGTCAGAGGATTACTTGAATTTAGCACAGTGATGGCCCACCTGCAACAAAGTTTATCCTGTTTAGAAAGCATCATGAAAGGAAAAGGTGGTGTGTGGGATTTGTGCAAGTTGCCAAATTATTGCTGAAAGTCACCCTTGGATTTTATAAGGGAGCGGATTGCATGCTCTTGAAATGTGCTTAGAGAAGGGATATTTAGTGACAGCACTTGATGCATTACCATGCTCCTTAACTACATTGTATAGCTGCACGAGGAAAGCAGAAAACGCCATAAAAAACATGGCATATACTTTATGCACAACTGCTTTGTGTATAACATATTTATTTCTTTCCCAATTCATAAATATGTTGATAGATTCACTACAGAGAAGCTTGAGACAGCTAAGAATATAAATGGGGATTTTTATTCACATAAAGATGAATGTTCCACATTGATGCGATACATCAGAAATTGGGCTCTGATTGAACAGGACGGATGAGTGTTCTCAAGGCAATGGCTATTGTGGCTGTCTGATGGCTGTTGTGCAATGCCTAGTGTGATTTATTGCTTTGTTCATAACATAAACTGATCCTGCATCTTATCGCACACATGCGTGCAGACGTGTTGGTGGCGATGCCGTGCGTAGGCGTTTGCAGACTCAACAACTAAAGTGGTAATTGTTTGTGATGATGCGGGAGCCATTCTGCAGCTGGATTGCTTAAAATCAAGAAAAGCAGATATTCAAGCATGACAGCTCTGTTTTTTGGGGGGGTTGATCGGAGTCTTTGTGGCCAAAGCATGCTGGGATTAAAGCCACCTGCCACCAACCACAGGACACCATCCTGCTGGTCCAGTTCTGGATGTAGCGCCACCTCACACTGTTGTAGCCTACAGATTACCATTTATGGCTCAGCGGGCTCCAGTGGGCTTTCTGGGTCAGGACCAGGCGGAAAGATTGGACAGTGGGCTTGACTTTGAAACAGAAAACCTCTCCCTGCATGTTCCAGGCTGAGGCTTGGTGAGGAGAGCCAAAAAGAAATGCGCTTACTTGTGTCATAGGGAGAATAAAATAGAATTTCATCATGTCCTCTGTTTGTGAAAATTGCCCAGAGCAGTGTGTAAGTTCAGCTTTTGTGAATATAACTGGAATTATATATGAAGTCACAAACTGTTCCACATTTTAAGGGCGTCAGGGGTCACTGTTACTGGTTGTCTAGAAATGGCAAAAATATTCAAAATAGTTTCTTTTTATTTATGCTTTTCTTCCATCTGCAGTTCACTTTTGTTTGTTTTACATAATTTCTGCATCACATTGGTGTTTCTGCATGTTCACAAAGCAGCGTTAGCACTGAAAAAGGAGTGGCTTCAGCCTGCCAAAGGCCTCAGGTCTGGTCTATTGTGACCCCTGGACAGCCCAGTGGGAAGCTGGGCGGGAGCAGAGCTTGTCAATGAAGCCGCTTGATGGCCTCAATAATTCAGTCGACACGGCCTCTGTGATGCTGAAAGCCTGATGTCTGATCGGTGACGAAGGGCGATGATGAGTAGGAGCGTGTGAAGCCAGTCAGAAACACATTCTCTGTGCCTTTTTTATTTTCTCAGAAGGGTGAAGAGAAAAAAAAATATGGAATATCAGTCGACTGAAGAGTGTAAAAGCTGGAGCCTTGCAGACAGTGTAATAGTATACAGGTCAGCAATCTTTGACTTCCAGAGGCGTATGATGTGTATTCAGGAGTCGCTCTCTGGCCAATCGTTGCTGGTCAGACTTTCTAAGTTTTTCCCCTGAAAGTTGAGAAACCTCTACGATCCAATGAGTTTTCAGATTGATGTTTCTTTTATAAGGCCTGCAGTGTGTTTCTGTATTCTCTTAGTGTGCCATCATGACCTACATACTCCCTAAAATGCTGACAAGCGAAGAATAAAACCATCTAGATTCTTTTTGTATTGTTTATGCGGCACAATTGCTTAAAGAAAAAAAAAATCACTCGATATGAGTTTTCATTCTGTGTCTGCAGTGTGTACCTGCTCTAATTTCATACCACCGAAGAGAGTATATTGATTTATTTTGGACCATTTATGTGAATTTGTATTTTTAGTAGTATATCAGCGTCTTTATTTGGTCAGATTTTATAGTTTCCCGTAGTTGCAGCAGCGCTGGAGTATTGCATTCCCATTGCAGTAGTCATGACTGAAGTTTTCCGCCAGTCTGTTGTCTGTGACTGCTATGATTGCTGTGTGTATTCCATCTGCCCTTGCATATTCTAAAGGAGGAAGGGTTAGTTTGTGGTACAATCATGCGCGATGCATTTGAATGACACCCGGTGTCAGCACTTTGGAATAGCTCTCCGTATTTGAATTTTTATCTGCTAGTCAGGTTTGTATGCTCACAGCATTTCTAATGTAACTCCAGTCCTGATCTTCAGCTTGTGTCTCAGTGCTCTTTTAATAGGACCCGGCAGAAGATGTCCAGATTAGACACAAGCTCT